CTCAGTGAAAAGTTTACTAAGTAGCCTGAACAACTATTTCTCTAGAAGGTGGGTTTTTATTGTTCTTGTTCTTAATATGGTCTCTCTGCGATTTGCTTCTCAGTATTCCTTGATTTTGTATTAAGATAACACAGAATACAGTGTTTTTTACGCAGGTAATTTGTGGCCAGCTTTGTTTCTCAGGAAGTGTTTGCTGGATTGACTGACTGACAACATGAGCCTGGCTAGGTTGCTGGCAGAAGCGATGGAAAATGCATGGTGCTGGATGAATGATCCCACAAAGTGAATGAGTCCTCTCAGATATGCAACCACCAGGCATCTTTGGGGAGAAAAATCTACTCCACGAGGCCAGAGAAGCTAAGGGGGCTCTTTGGAAATGGTTGTGCTGGGCGGGGTTGACATGGGGACTAGAAGTGGAGAGAGGTTTCTTAGAGGAAGGGCTGAGGCGCTAGAGCAGTGGTTCTCATCCCTCCTCATGCCGTGTCCCTTTAATGTAGTTTATCTTGTAGTGACACCCCCCGCCCAACCATCAAATTATTTTCGGTGCTACTTCATCACTGCAATTTTGCTACTGTTATGAATCGGGCGACGCCTATGAAAGGGTCATTCCACACCCAAAGGAGTCGCGACGCACAGGTTGAGAACTGCTGCACTATCGTGTGATGTCATGGACCTGCAAGCCTGTCTGAACTGAAATCCCCGCACAAAACCACCTCATTATCCAGCACAGAGAAGGTGCTAACGAAGTGTACGATGCTTGGTATGATTCGTGTGCTGCTTTATCCCCCAAATCAAGACGAAATGAAAACATACAAAATCTTCTCACATGAAGACCTTGGGATTTAATTGGAGTGTTGTAACTAGAATCCTGGAGCAGCTCAGCCTTCATGCCAGCATAGGCCTAGTCAGGACATAGAATCATTTAACCATGGGAATACGCACTCTGACTCACGGCAACCCTGTAAGACGGTTTCTGGTGGTGTTAAGGGTTATGTACTACGTTGTTTACCACCAAGGTCAGCAGTAAGAAACCAGCAGCAGCTCCTTGGGAGAAAGGCTGTCTACTGAGTCAGTCTCAGATACTCACAGGGGCAGTTCTACACTGCTATATGGTTGCTATGAGTCATGATTGACTTGGTGGCAGGAAGAACCAGGGGAATGGGGCATTAAGGAAAAAGAAATATTGTACATCTGAGGGTGAGTACCCAAGGAAGAACACTCAAAAAAGTCCCACTAGCCACCTGGTAAGCTCAAGCCTTGTTGAAGAAGCTGTCACAACATAAATAGCAGAGAAGATGAGTGGTTTGCTAGTCAGATCTTGTCAGCAATCACTAAGCAGGAAGCACCCTTCTGGCAGTTATGGTGAAAGCAGTGTATGGTCTTGGGAGTGGGGTGGCACATAGGTAGGGTACAGATGAGTCGCAGCCAATTGCCAAGTCCATGACGCAAGCCAATGAGGTGGGGGTGGGGCGGTAGTGCTACCGTGTTTCCCCGAAAGACATCTCCCGAAAATAAGATCTACTTACAGTTTTGTCTCTCACTGTAATAGAACACATGCCTCTAAAAATAAGACCTCCCCGAACATAAGGCCTCCCCGATAATAAGCCCCCCCAAAGCTACTGAAACTCTGGACTCGAATGTAGCGGCGGCGGGCGACGCGGTGCAGCTGTTGGCCGCAGCGCAGCCGGAGCAGACAGGAAGTGCGAGTAAATGTACCATAGAGTATGAGTAAATGTACCATAGATTGTTGTACATGGAAATAATGGTCGTAACAAGAAATTCTCGATACCATAGGATTCAGTTTGTCTGGTTATGCTGGTTTGGGATGACCACTAGTACCATACCGTATACACGTAATAAACTTCCTTTTTTGTTGTTCAACAATAAATGTGTACCGTATTCTTCTTCGTGGAAAAACAAGATATCCCCTGAAAATAAGACCTAGCGCATCTTTGGGAACAAAAATTAATATATGACAGTCTTATTTTCGGGGACACAGGTTATGTGCAGGTCAGGACAGGATGATAGGATATAAATCTGAGGAGTGGACAGAGTTGGGATCTGGGCATGGTGTTCATATTTCAATGGCAGCAGAAAGTGATCATTTGGGGAGCAAAGATGCTCAGAGCTCGAGCATCACCACCAGGTATCTTCGTACCCACTCTATGACACCACTCTGCACCTGCTGGAATCGCCCATCCATGGAGTGTCTTTCTGACACCGTCGACTGCGGAAGTGCATCATGGATACATGCATACAGGGTTTCTATTCATTATTGCAGAGCTCGTTCGGGAGACTGAATTAATAACTGGCACGATCTCTAGGCTTTTCTGTTACTCTGCTTCCCACATGCACCTATACACACTTAAGGCACTGCACAGCAATGTAATGTTCTATGTCCCCAAAAGGCCATTACTTATATTGCTTCAATACTAAATTGTAAAGCTAACCTAAAAGACCATGTGCCTAAAATAAAATAGGAAGCAGAGAGAATAGGCTAGATTCCAATAAGCATGTTAATTAAGCTGTTTGGCGAGTTGGTCATAGACAATAACCAATGGCATCTTTCCCCTCAGGCAAAGCCTCTGACGATTGATGACTTGAGTTAACCTGGTAGAGTGGCAGTAGCTATTATTCCCCAAAAGTACGTTTCTTAATGCCCGTTTCCCCTCTGACCCTATTAGGCATGTGTGGTAAGCAGAATGATGCCCGTTCATATCTTTCCCCTTCCCAGAAGGTAGCCTGATGCTAATCCTTAAAACCGCAGGAAATTCACTGCCATGGAGTTGAATCTGACACACAGACCTTGAAGCTGTAAATCTTTAAGGGAAAGCTGCAACTTCCTCCCAAGGAACAGCTGGAGGGTCTGAACTCCCAATCTTGAGGATTTTTGTGCCACCAGTGCTCTTTAGAATCTGTGAACATTATTCTTACAAAACAAAGGGAATTTAAAGATGAAAAGAATATTGCTAATCAGTGACCTTAAAATAAATTGCCCTAGATAAGTATTATTAGGTAGGCCCAATGTAATCACAAGTCCTTTAAAAGTATGTGTGGGGGTGGGTGGGTGGGGAGAGGGGCAGGGGAAGTGCTGAAAAAAGATGGCTATGTAAGGACTTGCTTGGCCTGACAATTCTGGCTTTGAAGATAGGGCTAGGAGCCAGTGCATGGGAGTGATCTATCAAGGTTGAGCAGGAGCGGGGAACCTTTTTTTCTGCCCAAAGGCCACACACACACACCCACACCTGCCTTCCAGAAATGCAACCCTATCAACACTTTATTTTAGCCCAGTGACCTTTTTTGGACTTTGACATCCCAAACTGTAAGATAATTTATTTTAAACCACTAAAGTTGTGCTAATTTTTTACAGCCAAAGCGGAAAATTAATAGAGTATTAAAAAAAATTTTGACCACGGGATCACCTGGAAACCTGGCGCACAAATTGAGACTCAATTTACATCCAGAACAGCTACAGACACACTGAAAATGTTTAATTATCTTTTATTTGAAAAAAATTACATAACATGTCAAGTACATTAATGATTAGAGCATCAACAAGTTCAAGGATTAATACAATCATACTAACATCACACTTCGTAAACTAGTCCATTCAAATCAATGAAAGGATGTACATGCAAAAACAAAATTCTAATATTTCCAAACATTTACAAAATTGTGAATTCTTTCAAATTGATTATATATAACACTTAATTGAAAAAAAACATTTTTCATTTAAACAGTATTTTTTCTATTTTATCTTCCAAAACTATTTTTTGAAATTATCTTATGCCTTTAAAATGTTTTTTCCAATCTTAACCTTTTTAATTTTCCTTCCGAAATGTTTCTAATAAAAAAGTACTTTTTCCAAAATTTCTTCCATTTAAAAGATTTACAAAATATTTTTATTTTCCATTTTTCCAAGTTTTTCTTTTTCAAAACTCCTTTTTAAATTTCTCAAAAACTTTGAAAACATTTTCATTTGGTTTTCCCAAAACAAAATTTCTTGCCATTTAAAAAAATATTTTTCTTATCTAACGTTCTTTTCATTTGACATTCCTCCCGCCCAGCCAAAACAACAAAAAAAATTTCCTTCCAGGTTTCAACCGTCTGAAAAATTAGTTAAAATATTAACCATCTTCATTTTTCAAATTGGCCAGGATCTTTGTTTTTCCAAAATCTTTTTTTCCTTTCTTTTTAAAACGTATTGTACATTTTATCCACCCACCACCGCCATTTTTTTCATCCCAGAAAACTTCCCTTCACTTCAGAATGAAGGGCAAGGTGAGGATGGAGTCCGTGCTGCAAAAGCAGGCCATCTGGATGTGAAGAGCGGGCACGTGCTTAAGCGGACTCAGTCTTTGACCCTGAGGCAGAACACCTTTCCTCTTTGCAGGGTTTTGTGTGCTGTATTACCAAGTTAAGACAGAATGTTTTATTCCTTGAAGGCACGAGCTCACTGTGCTACAAGGTCCAGAGATAGAAACTCTGGAATTAACTTTCTGAAGGTGAATTCTGAAGATTGTCAAAGGAGTTCTACATAAAGTTCTGGTAAACCATGCTATTTAAGATCATGCAAGTACTCCTTTAAGAAAAAATATAAAGAAAAAGGGGCTGAAATCACTAACAGCCAATGTCTTTCTACCAGGTAACCGGAGAAAAGAACCATTTTCTTGTGGGTCATTTTGCAAGTACTCCTTTAAGAAAAAATATAAAGAAAAAGGGGCTGAAATCACTAACAGCCAATGTCTTTCTACCAGGTAACCGGAGAAAAGAACCATTTTCTTGTGGGTCATTTTGCATTGAAGTTAAAGGAAAGTCATTTAACATCTTCACTCCGGAGACCAGTCCTTGGGCAGGGGGGCAGGGGCAGGGGTTCAGCCCATCACTAATGCCCAAAAGGATTCCAAATTTTCTAGCCTCATTTACTCTTGTTTTTGTCCCCCTCCCCTGCAACCGACTGCTGACTAGTCAAGCAAATCGGAGCAATGAATAGTCGTTTCTCATTCCTTCTGAGAGGCATCCCCAGCTGCCTCTGTGCTACTACTCTGGGAATCCTCTGCCCGTTTCTCAAGCTCTTCGAAAACATCCTTCTGCATATAGAAGAAGATGTACCCACCGAGAGGCCTAATCGCTATCATCTTTGGATCCTTGGTCAACACCGAAATTTTCAGGTCACTGTAGGTGAACCATTCCTTCTTCTCAAAGTCGTAGGCATCGTTGACATAATGACCTGATTGAAGGTTATCCCCCACATGGCTGATCATACCAAAGAGCTGATAAGCGAAAGGACCACTGACCTGCTTCTCTCTTTCAGCTCTAACGTGTTCATCTTCATCATCGGTAGCTGAAGTAGCTTGCTTCCCAGCGTTCTGACTGGAACACGATTCATCGTGGGATTCCACTTTTGCCGCCTGGCAACTTACTTCCACAGGTCTGCTAAGCTTCTCGGTGTGCCCCTGAGCGAGTGGTGTCTCAAGATGTGGCGATGATGTTTTCTGAGGCCAGGAGAACCTTGCCTCCTCCGAATCTCTGGGCGACACCACAGATGCCTTGTGGGGTTCTTCTGGTGTTCTCCCATTTCCAGACTTTGTTCCCATTTCCTTATATTTTACAGGGTTATATGCCTGTTGGAGACGAGCCAATACATGACTTTTACTTTTGCATTTCTTATGCTTTGCTGAGCTGCCTTTTGGCAGCTGCTCTTCACTGGCTGCCTTTAATCCTGAACTTCCCATTTCTGGGTCTCTTATACCTGGCTGAGGACCCTTTGCTAAATCTTTACCTTGCTGTTGTCTTCTTGCCCTTTCCTCCATTTCGCTCTGAGCTCTTAGTTTTGCTATCAGCTTGGGTGACACGAGGTACTTAAACAAGGAATCCATGTCAGAGGGCAAGTTGACTGGTGGTGTGGGTGGCTCAGAGATACCTTTTGTCACAACTTCAGGGAGTACTTCAGCTTCAGAATCCCAAATATGGACAGAGTTTCCCAAGGGAGTAGGTAGCTGGGTGTTTTCATCACAATGAGAACCTAAATCTATGTATTTGGGAATAAGGACAACCTGGTGATCCTTGTTTAAGAACCAATTATCACAATAGTTATAGCGTTTCAGATGAATAATGAGGACCCTGGGAAGCTTCTTAAAGGCATACGTGGCAATTGACCCTTTGTAATTACACATCTCACATCTATAGTCGATTTCTTCCGGTTGAAAGTATAAATCTAAACTGGACTGAATGCAAAATTCTTTTTTAACCTTTTCTCGGGGAAGGTTGATCGAGAGGTAATTGCTCACTTCCGGTTTGATAACAATGTGATTACAGCCCTCACAAATGAATGAGTATTGCAGCTCAACTTCAAAATTTGTGGTGATGGGACACACCAGTGCTTCTGGCACAGCACACTGAGGCACGCTGCCCGTCTCAGCTTCACAACTGGCCTCCAACACCAATTGTATTTTGTTCAAACTCTCTTTCATGTGCTGAAAACAGTGGCCTAAAAACTCATGGGCATCATTCTGGGCGTCCGTAGAGAAAGTACTGCTGATGGTTGAAATGATTCTCTTCATGTTTTCAAGTATTTTGTCCTTAATGTTGAAGTTGCATATATTTCGCAACAGAAGCAGTTGAGCACAACATAAAGACAGATCATTAAAGGGAACTTTACCCCACTGGAGGGTCTGACTCAGTAAATCATCACAGAAAGATGGGATACAAAAGACTGTTTGCAACACTACATTCATATAGCAAGTGTTGCCGGTATTGGGGAAGCCTTGCCACTGTTTATCAGGACAAAAGGCAAAGCACAACTCAGTTTCCTCCCACGGTTCTAGGCTATCCTGTTGATAGGTCGGCTCAAAGAGATGGCTCAAAAGGTTTGAGAAGGAGACTATTCGCATTTGTTGAGTCTTATCTGGGGCAGAGCTTTCACCAGAACTGGGATCAAACTGAACTGAAAATTTCAATTTCGCGTCCTGTCTAAATCCTTTGAAAACCAACGGTTTCTCAAGATGGAGGGTGACATATTTCACAGGATGTACACTGAGTTTCTTGATTAGGAGGTACCTATACATTGTCGCCTCCTTGATGTAACGGGATTTCTTTTTGCTTTTCCCACGTCTACGTTCTGATGACACTGTGTGGGCATTGAGTAAGCAGGCTGCTAACAAAGAAGATAACTCTCTTTCCAGCGCTGCTGCCAACGACCCACTCTGTGAGTCCCCCCCTCTCCGTTGAGCTGAGGTTAGGGTCTCTTCCTGTGCTGTTGTTCCAGAAGAGCTACCTGTATCTTGAGGAGGTCCCGCGGACGGTGGATCTTCTTTTTTCGGAACCCTATCCAGAATGCTCTTCAACTGTACAGCATCACTGTAGGCCAACTGGCCAATATACAGGAAGCTATTATTTTGGAAAGTGATATGGAGGTGATTTTGCCCTTCTTCATCGAATCTGTAGCCAACCTCTCTAACATTATTAGTTAGTGGGAAATCTTTTATACTGTCTTCGGTGCTGAAATGGATCACCATTCTAACCTTCTCATCCTCTTCCACGATCTCAATATATGCACCTTTTGACTTAGTCAACCCATTCTTCTTGGTCCATATTTGGACAGAACCAGGTACCAGCAGAGTGGTCATCTTTCCGCAGTTGCAAAGTCAGCACCCACACGCACAGCCTAGATTATTGACAATCTTTAAGTCACAATTTGTTTTGCCTAGTCCAATTCTGGAGACAATGCTGCAGAAATAGTTCTCTAGTCCCGTATCTTAAAGGATCGGTGGATTATGCTCAGATTCTGGATAGCCAGCAACTTGAGTGGTGAGACCAATGCCTTTTGAAAGCTGTCCAGCGGCACAAGTGGGCAGAGCTTGAATCCCAAGGCAAGGCACTACTGGGGGGAAATCAAGGAAAACAAAAGATTAGGTTATCTGAGAAATGCTTGGAGAAACTTAAAACTGTATTTCCATAAGCACAATCTCCTTTCCACCAAAATACTCAACTCTATTCTGACTAAGTTCCTGACTTCGCAAGCATGAAATTCTTGGAAGACTTTCAATACCCAGCTGAAAAGCTTACTGAACAGCAAGGCCACACGTGGCTGCAGAGGAAATAATCCTCCTGGTACCAGAATGCCCTGCTAAGCACAGTAAGTCCCAAGTGGTTCTCAACCCCCCCCCCAGATGAATATCCCTTGAAGCACATAAGTCTACAAGACTTGAAGCATGGTCCGCTCCAAATAAAAGTCCCTTTCTAAATACAGTTGGGGTTTCTTCCCTTTATTTTGGCAACAATGAAAGTCCACATTCGTTCACAGCAAAACCCAAAACAAACCTGTGTCCATGGTAGACTATTGCCCACTGATGCTGACAACATTTTCGGGGATATAGTCATTACAGAAGCAGCTCACTCCAGGAATTTGGGAAAGTTCAAATTCCCAACCTTTAAGAAGGTGGCAGATTGTAAGGCGTTGGTATGAATCTGTCCTCCTGGTGGATAGAAAGAGCTCTTTCCACGTGATCCTAAAATTTGCGCCATTTGACAATGATATTTCTCTCCCACGCCAGGCTCTGCTCCACAGGTCCTGTGCCTTCTAAACCACCAATGAGACAAGGGTTGGGAATTTCTGTCGCGAATTGCACAGGCATCCATTCTGAACTTCAGTTCAAGAATTCCTCAAACAAATGCTGAGGTCCTTTAAAGGCTAAGCCAAAGGCCATTGGGTTGATTCGGATGCATGGTGACCTCGGGGATGTCAGAGTAGAGAGAGCTGTGTTGTGAGCTCCCTTGCATGTGCTTCATTGGTGGCTGATGGGTTCAGCACTCTATCACCATGCATGTCTTACAAGGTGCTAGTGGGTAGCCAGGAGCCTGCCACCTTTCCTTTAGCAGGTTTGCACCACACCAAGTTTCAGAAGGTTATTTTTGCATGTTTTAGTTAATCTCACAAGGGATAAATCTGCAATTCCAATTCTTTGCATAGAATACTCCAATTCTTTTCATAGAATACTCCTATTCTTTGCATAGAATACTTCTGGTAGTTTTTTGGTGAACCACCAACAATACACAATCTCCACAACAATAAAAGCAACTGGCTCTTCATACAAAAGACCAGCAGGCTTAGAACCCCACCCTGCAGTTCAGGTTATGCACACTTAATCATAATAATTTAGTGAGAACTTGTACTGCTTTGGGAATATTTGTCCCCTGAAGCCCTACATTTGTCTCCCACCATTCCTGTTTTCATTATTCCAGGAACAAGGAAAACCTGAAAATAATTGAGTGAGTGAACACCTTTCAAAGTGAACATTCATTTCTTACTCCCAAAGCATCCATTACAGAAGAGTAATAAAAGAAGAAAGCTCAATGAAAGACGTATTTTCTTTCAAGGGTTGTGGTTCAATGGATGATGTTTTAAGGGGGAGAAAAGATAAACGATTTGTTTTCACAGAGGTTATAGGGGGTTAAAGCCCAGAGTCAATTTCCCATCATTGCTGGAGGTCTTTTCAAGAATGCCCAGCAGGAGCTCTGAAGAGCAAATCAGCCTCAAATCCAATTCATTTGGAATGAAACACTACTTAGTGATCTTGAACAAACCAATTCCACTCTTACGGCTCATCAAGTGACCTGGAAAATGATCCTATGTGTGGCATTTTTCTTTCTATGCATCTATGATCGTGTGCTGTCTTTACCTGCTATCAAGCTGGCCTCCAAGTTCCTCCAAGACCCCACCCTGAGATCAGACCTTTGTGCTCCAGACTGGTCAATGGCTGGTTCCAGAAGGAGGTGAGGGGGGCCTTTCTTTCTAGCCCACTGGAGTCCCTCAAAGTCCTTTGAAGCATCTTCAGTAGTACAGCAACACACAAATGTCCACTGGCAGGTGCCTCAGTGGCTGTACTTGAGGAGTGTGGTAGTTACATAAGCTGGTGTCAATTTGGGGCTTGAGAGGATTAAGAGTGAAGGGGTGGAGTTGTCTGTCAATTGGGTCATAGCCAATGAGACCCCCGTGTGGGCATGGCCTTCCCTTGAGGATTCTGGGAATTCCTAGATTTCCTCCTTGGAGGCAGGAGAAATTCTCTCTCACTAACTCCCTGAGAGATGCTCTACTGACAAGACACTCTGCTGATAAGATCCCATGCCCTGGAAACTGGAGGAGCCACATGGAGACCCCTGCCAGCCCTGAGATGCTTCTGCTACACCACAGGATCCACACGACTTTGCACCTACTGTCCTATGATCTTCCTGCATTTGGTGTCACTGCATGTGTTTCGTGAGTCAGAAGAGGACTTTATAAGTTGTTATCAGACACATGGGTTAATATCGGACTTACAGACTTGATCTGGACTGGGCTGGGATGTTTTCTCAATATTCAACTTCTCTTGTATATAAAGCTCTTTCTTATACACATATGTATGTCTATGAATTTGTTTCTCCAGGCTACCCGGACTAATACAAGGAGGGTACTTTAGCCAGGAATAAAACCCAAGTGTCCCCCAGTGAAGACAAGAATGCTACCTCCAAAATACCATGTATGTAATAAGCACCCTAGATTTCCTGATACAGTCCAAATTTGAAAAAAAAAGTTTTCTCCAACAACTGTAAAACCCACAATGAACCTAGAAACGGACACATTATTCAACAATTGGAAGGGGGGCATCTAAGAAGATGAATATACTTCCAATGAGAAGAAGGAATTCTCTTTAAAATAAAAGCTAGAGCCGTGGTATCGTGACCTATGTGCAGGGTGTGGAGCCCTGCTGGTGTAGTGGTTCTATGTGGAGCTGTGATGTGCTCAACCCCGAGCCACTCTTCAGGATACAGACTGGGCCTTCCACTCCCTCTGTGAACAGTCAGAGTCTCAGAAACCCACAGGGATCGCTATGAGTCAGCATTGAATTGATGGCAGGGAGCTGAGAGAGTAGGGTCCTAGCAAGCAGTGCAGAGGTATCTCCCCACTATGCAAACTAGAACACTCCTGTTAAATCGTTATATGCAGCAATGACTATTAATTATACAGGAAACTTTTTTTAACCATTCCCAGGCCCCCAAAATGTCCTGCCAGATCACATGTAAAACAAAAAACACACTAACCCATAGTATTCAGACACACGTCAAAGCAATAGTGCCTTCGTGCCAGATGTTGAGTGTCCTTCCTGGAGAAGGAGCGACCTTGGGCAGCATCACTAGCTTGGCTTTTCACCATCCATCTCCCATAGAAGTAAGGATTCTCTTGGATTCTCTCAGCGAACAAAACCAGGTACTAGTAGAGGTCTTTCGTGAAAATGAAGTGGCATGAAGCGAAATTTTGAACAGTATGGGCTACCCATTTCTAAGTACACGGGGTTATAGGGATTCCTAGGGACACAGATTCTATGCTCTTTCATCAAACTTTCTGTCTAGCAGCAGAGTGGAAAATAGACTCACCTAAAATCGAAACTCAAGCTCGAAGAGCAGGGCGCCTGCTTCCCCGATGCAGGGGTGGGCAGGGAAGACCTGCCTGATCCTGAGCGGTCACTGCGTCAAAGCCCTGAAGGCAACACAGAAGTGAGGATCTAAATGCTTAGTGCCCCCGGAGAGAAGAGTTCATCTGAACAAACCGTGAGGCTGGAAGAGTGCTCGGCATATGAAAACCAGAAAGGAGGTCAGGATAGGTGGAGGACAGTGAACAGGCTGGAGGAGAAGGAAGACAGGAAATAATTTCGACAAGCAGACCAACTGAGAGGAATCATCTGGAAGAGCATTGCCAGAATGGTGGGGCAACTGGCAGAATGTCATCAATGTGACCAACCAGGACATGCAGAAATGGATTAAGTGACGGTGCATTTTTATTATATAGATTTCCACAAAACAGCAGCAAAGAGCAGATGAGTGAAAAGTGGGCTAACAGTGCAGCATCAATAGCCTACTTAAGGCTCATGGTCATGAGTTTACAAAGAGACCAACCAGCATGCACCCACTCCTCACTGATTGACTATATCTCATGAGCCGATATTTCATACTTAGAAGAGTTTTTTAAAAAACCAAAAACTACCATCAGGCTAATTTGTACATTAAAGACAGATGTCTGTCAAGTTCCCAGGTGAAATAAGGCTGATTGTAATGCTCAAGGTCATGATTCAACCTGGCTGAGCCATTATTCTCCCGTTTGTGATCCCACAAGGTCTATTTCTGCATCACGTGTATTTACACATAATGACCTGACCTTTGGAACTTAACTCTATTGGTACGCGAGGAGTGTTCTTCTCCAGCCAGGCTCAGTCGGACATCGAATAAGGAAGTCTGAAGAACCAACGCATTGAATGGTGGTGCTGCTGAAGAATATAGAAAAGTGCCGCAGACTGCTAAAAGGGCAAACCAATCTGTGTTGGAAGAAGTATGGCCAGAGTGCTCCTTAGAAACAAGGCTGGCAAGACTTGGTCTTCACATACTTTGGACATATTGTTGGGAGACATCAGTGCCTGGAGAAGGGCATCGTGTCTGGTAAAGTGGAGGGCAGCGTAAAAGAGGAAGGCCTTCAACGAGATGGTTTGACACAGTGGCAGCAACACGGAGTTCGGGAATAGGACCATTGTGAGGATGGTGCAGGCCCAGGCAGTGTTCTGTTCGGTTGTACACAGGGTTGCTAGGGGTCAGAATGGAC